ATATTGCGAAAATGTGCTGGTTTACATCTAACAAATGACTGTGATAAATGGTGAGAGGAAACCAGGCTTGTCCTTTAGCAATCTATAATTCAGAATTTCCAAACATGATCACAACAATTCCTGGTAAACTACACATGAGCAGCTCCCGTGAAGGGTTGTTACAGCAAATCCCTCACATTTATCAAAAAAAGTCTAATTTACTCATTGTTAGGTGCTCCACATTATTAACATCACTTATGCCTTTCTACAGATTTATAAAGTGTTTTTTCTCCTGATAAACAGTCAGGATTCAAACTTGTTCAAATGAAATGGCTACAGTTTCAGTTTCTTAGAATTGTTTCTGCATAAAGAAGAAAACTGTGTGAGTGAAAAGAGCAGAAAAATGCAAAATGACTAAGACCTTTGTGTGGCAGTATATATAGATCAGTTACTGAAAACAGAATATCTATTCAGATTGAAAAGGCTGTTCCTGTGCACAGATATTTAGCCAAAGTTTAATATTAGATAATTTGATAGATATATCAAGTATTATCAAGTACCATATTTCATTCAAATACATGTAATTTTTTACTCATATTACAGCTCATGAAAATAGCAAATCGGGTGACAACATGTGGTGAGAGGTACCTGCAAAGGGGACAGAATGTCACTGTGGTTCACTTCTTTTTTTAAATAGCACAATTTCTTTATAAGCAAGGGTAGATTTTGTGAAATGCATTTTGATGAAACTGATCTCTTCTGGGAAAAAAGACTTTGTTCTTTGTCTTAAACAGTGACAACCTACGGTGTCTGTCATTTGACTCTCACTATGTGTCACTAATTAATTAGATACATGAACACGTACGTAGCGTTCTGACATAATTATATACTGTTCTTCCTAGAACAAAGTTGCAACTAGTGAGAACAAGGCAATGATTAAAGAAAAACCTTTATCATGGGGCACAACGCCGAAAAGGGTCTTTGAAGTTTCATTTGACTCCCTGCAGCTACAAAAGATGTAACATGTATTGAAAGTATTGAATTTGTCAGTGCATAAAAATAATGAATATTGCTAGAAAGTTGTTGTAATGCCAGAAAAGAGATCCTTGCTATAATACAGGTGTCCTGCAAAGTAAATGTACATCTCTGTACTGTGGTGAAACCATTTACTGTAATGCTGAATATGATTTTAATGCTTGTGGACAACTCTAATGTGTACACCCCCTCTCCATCCCCTAATTAACACAACCTACTCCAAAACAAAAATGCCTTTTTGGTGTGCTTAATAATTATACTAAAGCATTCTGTATATGGGAATCCTTATGGTCCAAGTGATATGCACCAACTGATTAATCACATTAAACAGATCAGGCCAGAATTAAAGATCATCTCTTTTTAAGTACTGCTAAATGAGAACATCCTAGTCATCGTGTGATGGTACAGAGTCATCACACAGTTTCTAGATCAAAGCCAGAAAGGTTTTGCTGTGAATTAGGTGGAGAACAAGTTGCCATAGTTTTTGACATATGTAAACCATTTGAAGGCTATCTGATTTGAACATGAGATTCCGGCCACAGACAGGGATGAGAGCCAGTGGGCAGGATCCCTGAAGGAATCTCCACTCTGGAATTAATAACCCATCTGCCACTTCCTGTTGTCCACAAAGTCAGAAACCAACCCAAGAAGGTCCCTGCTTGTGAAACACTGCTGTTATTAAAAGTGGTCTTAATACAATCTTATTTGCCTCTGTTGGAGGCCTACCTCAATATTATTCTGCCAGCTATACCACTCACGCCAGCACAATACAGACAAACAAAAGGGGAATTATAACTGCAACACAATTGTTGGACATTGGTATCAGGAGAGTTGTGACTCCGGGCTTTCATTGAGATTCTTTATCCACACTACACACCATCAGCACATCTTCATGTGGCATTTTAAATGGCCTCCCTGCTTTATCATTAGACTCGATGTCTAATATTCTCAGTCTCATGTATTGTTCCCCTCCAAGGGGAAGACTGACCAGCCTCCTCTCACACACATACACACACCTTCTCTCTCAGTACAGTCTCTTGACCTTTTGTTCTTCTGACACACTTTCTGTGCACTGGGCAATTGAGTATTCATTCTGATTCTCTCCACATCCCCCATTTAACTGCACTAACTCTTCAGGCTTAGAGTTTAAGTCAAATGGCATTTTGGCATCCAACTCTCATATCACCAGGGATAGACTTTATTTTATAGCACCCAGTTCCTTTTCACTAAAGGACACGTCTTCACTACTCTTCTTCTGTTTGAGATGGTTTAACCAGGGACACTTCTCTATCAAACCATGACATCCCAGACACACTTGTTACCATTTTGTAATTTCTTTCTTTATTCACTCTGAAACAGTGTATCTGCAGTTCTTAGACACAGGGCGTATTTGTTTATCTTCCTGTGCTCTCTAGACACCCAAAGACAACTGCTGCAATCTCGTCAAAAATGATCCACTTCACCAGCAGCTAAGACCTCCTATCAGCCGCGTTACAACAATTCAACTCCATCTCCTATGAGCGCACGACTTCCCTATTGAGTCTGGCAAACAGGTTACCATTTTCCCTGCCTTACCAGGACCTGTGAGGCATGCAGTACCGTTTTCTGTATCTTCATAAAGGCTTCCCAACTTGCAGATCTCTGCTGACCTGTTATCCAGCCCAATCCATTAGTAACAAGAATCCCCAACTATGGAACCCTCTCTTTCCTTCCTATCTAGAGCTTACTAACACAGGGAATCTCCTTTCCTCCCATCTGGTCTTATGAGCCTCCTGATTACTCAGAGGGGTAACTAATGCCACAGAAAGCCTATCCTAATGGCTTTCCCTCCTGTAGAATTCCATTCCCCCTGAGTTTTCTAGACTCAATTGGTACAGCTGTGTCTCATTTTGAAGATCCTGCCAATCTGGGCTCAAGGCCATGCCATTGGGCCTAGGTTTTGAGCCAAGATGGTGGCTTCCTCACACATCCACCTCTTCCTACATCACAGGACGGTATTGTTGCTTAGATCAGGGGTTTCCTAACCTGGCCCAAGATGGCCACAACCACTTTACATTCCAGCTGAACTCAATTACCTAATAGAAGCCTCAATTAAACTAACATGTTGCTTGGTTACAATATTTTCAAGTTTGTTTCCTACTCAAATGTTTGGTATTTTATTTTACTTATGAAATTGAATTGTTACAAATATCTGAAAACAATCAAACTTTTAAAATGAATCCTATTATTAAGTCAATTATGGCTGTGATTGGGAACTTGGCAGGAACAAAACCAAACAAGTGTGTGGCCTGCCAGGACCAGAATAGGGAACTACTAGCATAGATGACACCATTATTGTTTACAAGTTTTTTGCAAAACAAAATGAGATTAAGGTAGAACTAGCAAGCACTACAGTAGGTCATCTTACATTTTTTTAACGTAGGACGCAGTAGTTAGTTGTGCCAAACTTTAAGATGACTTCATTTAATTCAGCCTTTTAAAAGTTGTCTTTCAAGTTGTTTCTCTGTCTTTAAAGAAGTGCTCTTCTCTGGTCAGATACATCTCTGGAAGGATATTCCAGTTCTTTGGCACAAATCTCTCTTGCAAACATATCTCTCATTACTCTGTCTGAACAGCAGTGGACTTGCTTTGAAACAGGATGGATTGCAGGACACAGAGTTGTTTATCAAAGTAAATTCCACAATGCTACAGGAAGCTTTTGTGTTTATTCAAAAAGAGAATATGTTTTTATCCACCTTTATGCAGTGTGTTAACACACTGTCAATATACAATGTGTATGCCTTTTGTTCATAATATCGAGCTGTATGCCTACATTTTCATTGTAGAATCAACATATGGTTACACTTAGAAAAAAAAATAGAAAAAAAAATGTAAAGGAAATAATCCCAGTTGTAAACTTTTGCAAAGTTCTTCTTTCTCTTCCAAAATTTGAGTAAAATCTCTGTCTTATAAAAGAGGAATATACTCTGTGGTTCAAAAATTCCTTTGGAAGTTGCACCTAATCAAGCTAAAATGGACTGAAATATGTAAATAAGGTTCTAACTGCACCTGATAACTCTCACTTTACTATTTGTGAACTCAGTACAACAGAATAAGTGTAGCTCTCTGCACCACAAGGCACACATAAGCAATTGAAACAATACAAGGCTGGGTGAAAGTGTAGTAAGCAATACACAGGTGCTAATTAAAAACAATTACACATAAGGCTGCAAAATATGGATTCTTATCTAGCAAACCCTGTGACAAAGAAAGGCAAAATTTGAAAGTTAACAGTGTTAAAATTCCATCTCAGTTATTGGAATGAGAAAAGGCAGGGATTTAGTATTTTGCTCATTGCCATACCATTTAGAAGAAACAAGTAAACATTTATTACACACTGAAAAACAGAAAGAGGAAACACAGCATTTTGGCTATTGAGCTTTTTTCAGGTAAACCTTCACACCCGAAAAAGGCTCCACAGATGAAATGTTGTGTTTCTTCTATTTTTCAGCATGGAATTAAACTGACACAGTTCCCTACTTGACCATTTGTAAGGCTTTCTAGAGTCTGTAGTAAATAAAAATAAAGCAATAGTAAAGAAATTGTTCTGTACTTTCAGCTGTAGATTTAATCAAATACCAGTTACATGATTACTGTGTCCTTACTTTAAATGTTGACTGTGTGACATTTATAATTCAGTTTACAGTGTATGTACTGTTCAGTTTCACTTCAATTCACACTACCAAAAATACTGCAAAATAAATGTACAGCTGAGTTCAAACAAAAGTTATTTTGGAATATAATAAATTGACAGTTTTCCAAGAAGTATTGTTTTAGTATACTTCAAAAATTACTTTACATCCCCACTGTGGTCCACTCCATATCGATGTAAAATATTTCAAGATTTGTAGTAGAGAAAAGTATTAAAGTAAAGGATAACAGTGTTACCAGTTGTTTAAATCTGAATGATGCTTCTCAGGTTGAGTGTAATTTCATTCTTTTATTAGAACTTGTCCCATAATTGAAGTTGAAAGGATGTTCTTCACTGCTCAGCTTCCCAGCCCCTCACCAGAAAGTGCCAGGTTGGACTTTTTGAAGAAAATTATCCTCTTTCTTTCCAAAACCCCATGAGGGCCAGAGCTTCTTTTTGTTACATTACCAGAGCAAGAACTCCAGCACAGCAGCCTACCAGTCTGGTACTCTGAGGGATCAGGAGCTCCACAGGGGGACACTGGGCAAAGAAGAACTAAGGCAGGAGAATGGGCTCGTTTTGTAAGTCAGCATTTTTGTTTAATAATCTTGCTAAAGAAAATAAATCGTACTCTTAACATGAAACACCATGTGGCCTATATGAAGACTTCAAGAGTCCGGAGGGTACAGAGAAGCAACTGAGAATTCTTACCGCTGAACTTGGAATCAGTGGTGGTCTGTCACATATCACAGAGTTTGTCCACGGATATATGGTAGTCAGTTCAGTGAGTGGAGAAATAAATGTTCATTCAATGACAAAAACCTCAATGAAATTATTCTTTTCCAGAGGATGAGTATTGGGGCACCCAACAAGCACTTCCAAAATCCTGTACATATTTAAGTTTAAAATATTGAAACTTGTGTCAGACTTTCATAAAACAACCTTGAAGCATAATTAGCTGAACGTAGTCTTAAAAAACAAACTCATCTCCTGGGATATACTGTAGGAATCCTAATCCCAGGTATCCTTCACATCAATAAGAGTCAACAATTGCAGATTGAATAAGGCGTACTTTGAAGACAATAGGTGTCTTACAAATAAGATGCCTGGGACCAACGTACTGGTCTTTAGACTTAGTGTTGCTGTAAAAATCATATTTTTAACACAATAAACAGGACACTTCATTAATCATATATTCTTGAATGTGCTAGTTGCAGAATTTTGAACGGAAAGTACTATTGACATCCATGACATCGATAATGTTCTTATAGCCCACTGTAATAAATGAACTTTATTATAGTTGTTTAAATTTGAATGTTATACAAATGTAGAATTTCTACCTTCCTAGTACCAATAGTAGTAAGATGCCTGAGCCATCAGTAAAATGTTGATGGCATGCTGCAGTCACAAGCACAAAAACAAATGTTCTGCTTTTGGTTTTACTTAAAACTTTGAATTTTGTTTATGTGCTGAAGTTTGTCTGTAAAAAGTGTGTTTTTTTATTGCCAGCTATAAAGTCTTCTAGCTTCTTCACTTGAATTCAGGGACATTTACCTGAAGCACATTCAGCGTCTGTTTACTGCACAAGCAGTGTAAGTACTGAGAAAAAGGTCTCACTGTGTGTTTAGAGTATTGAGTTAAAAAGTGACATTTGAGGGGCACTTTACAAAACTCGCTCCGTGAAAGATCTTCTGTATCACCTAAAGAGCCTTTGTCACTCATTGGAAACCTGTCACCTTACACTGCGATACTGCAGGGGACTGTGTGACAGGTCAGAATTAATGAGAAGAATATGACAGCGTGAAAGCTACAGAAAAAGGGTGGAATGGAGAAGCTGCTTTTGTCTCTTTCAGATAAATCCTTTCATGGCTAGGGCTCTATACCTGCTGCAGTGTCAGCTACAAAGACCCTGAAATGGGGATAAAAGAACAGCGTGTCACCATAGCGGGGTACATGGACTACCAGTGGTCTGCTCATGCAATTGATGACCCTCTAGGCGCCTGCATGCAGGGGGAAAGATATTGAAGGATACCGGGCGTATGGAGGAATAAACTCCAGGTTGGCTGTTAAAGATGAACAATAGAGCACTCATGTACGGTGAATGTTTTTTTTTCTGTGCACCCATTTTCTTTCAGATGCAAAACCCAAGTAACACCAGAAAGGATGACTTTCCTGTCTGTCAAGCCCTTGGAGGTCAGTGGCTGGGGAGCCTCCTCTCTGAGTTCTTCTGGCCATCCTGTCCCACCAGCATCATGAAGGCCAGAATGTTTAGCCTGAGAGACAGCGCTTGGAAGGGAAGGCAGACTCGTGCTTCATCCTCACCCAATTGAAGAGACATCCCCATCTTTTGTGCCTCTGCAGAAATACAGGAGTAAAAACATAAACATAAAAATGTTTGTGTTGAACTAGAGGAGTCAACTTGTGAAAACAAACTCGGGTGTTTATGTTGACATGTCATTAAGATCTTCTAGACGATGTAGGGAAGCAAAAATGACACAATGTTTGGATGTATAGGTAAAGTGTAGCATTTAAATCAAGGGATGTTAAATTAAAATTATACAGTGTAGTGTTAAGGCCATGTTTAGAATATTGTGCTACACTTCTGGTTACCATATAGACTAAATAACATTGAATATAGAAAAGCTATTGCTGCTCTGGAATCAGTCCAGATGCATTTCAAGGCTTAAAGCAATATCCTACATCCTGACAAGCTGGAAGAATAGAACTGTTTTAGTCTTGAACAGAGAAGACTATGAGTTCACCAAGTATTAATCCTCAAAGTCACTGAGAAAGTCAGCCCAGTGGATTTCTTCAAAATAATCATTGAAAGATTAACCAAGAACACAAGTAGAAACTACATGGGCATGCATTTAAAATCAAGAAAAGGAGGCATATCTTTCTCCAAAGGGTTGAGGGAGTGTGGAACAACCAACTCAGATATCAAGCTCCGCTGGCTTCCTTCAAGAAAAAAAACTGGATGAGATCCTCAGTTCTGTTAACTACTAACAACCAAAAACAGTATGTAATTTAAGAGTCATCAACAATTTATTCAAAGTCCCTGCTAGAGTTCTCTAATATTAAAACATCTTCAAATCTTAGTAATAAGACTGACTTTGGTTGAGAGGAAACCAAACATCATTTAGTAGTCTGTAATTCAGAATCTTCAAACCTGATCTCACCAACTCAAGAAAAAACTACATATGAGCAGCTAGCATGAAATCCTGGTAGCTAATACAACACACTTGTACAGTATCTAATTTACTCTGTTCTTCTCATTAATATCACCAAATTCTCTTTTCACATCCATAAAGCTACAAGGCTACTTTTAGTACTAGAAAAACATCTATCACTGTTTAAAAAAGGAGGAATGTCGATAGAATAGGGTGGCATGGTGGTGGAGTGGTTATCCTTGCTGAATTGCAGGACTGTAGCCATGGGTTCAGTTCCTGAGGTGCTATCTGTATGGAGTTTGTTTGTTCTCGATGTGTTAATGTGGGTTTGCTCTGGGTGCTTCAGTTTCCTTCCACAGCCCAAAGACGTACTGGAAGGTTCATTGGCTCCTGGGAAAATTGGCATGGTGAGAGTTTGTGTGTCCTGCAGTGGACTGGCATGCCGTTCACCAGAGTGTGCTGTATCCTGCTTTGCGCCCGTTATTTTGCTGGGATAGGTTGTACTGTAAGTCACCCGTGACTCTGTATTAGATAAAGCAGGTAGAAGATGGATAAATGTCAATACAATTGTACTTCTGTGTAAATAAGGACACACACTGAGTGAAATAAGATGATCAATGAAAAATGGTAATCTCACCTTTATTTGTCTTGTTAAATACTGTCTTTTAATAATGTTTTTCTCAGACTGAAGTCCAGTTTCTTTGTATTGTAGTTGGAAAGCCATTTTTGAATTTCCGGTGTATTTGAAAGTGCTTATGCATACATATACATGCATATTCCGAGTATAATATTTTAAAAATAATCAAATGGCTCACTTTCCGAACAGAGCATATTATCATCCTCAGCAAATTGGATGAGTTGGAAATCCCCGCATTTAAATCAGTACTTCAAACATGAGACCAATTTATAATAGTCATAAAGGCCTGGGAAAAAAAAAAAGTGATGTCTTGTTTTTTGTTGATATAACAATTTGTCTAATGCAAGAGAGGAATGCAGATCTCCAAAGCTGGAAAATCAGAGGCTCTTTATGTTTTCGTATCTCAATTAAGTGATGAGCACAGTGAGAAGGAACATCTCTGTGGGCTTTTCGTCATTTGTGCTGTTTCCAAACACTGCATGACATTTCTGCTTGACACAGTCTACTGGCTGCCCAATCTGTGAGTAAGATCACCAGCAGAACATCCTTAATTCTTTTTCTGTTCTAATTGCAAAATTGTTTTTTTTGTGCTCCAAACCTGGCTGATGCTGGACAATATCGGTGTTCTTTTCTGGCATTAGATTCTGTAGTCTTAAACGTTTTGTATTAAGGAATCAAGGTATTCCCAGAGCTACAGTGGGGCTACCTAAAATTGCAACAACAAAAAAAAGAGATGAAGGTGTTGCACTCTAGTTGTGAACACTTGTCTTTGAAACCCAAACAACACTTCATGTATATTTGGGGATACACAGTATGAATACATAAAATAAGAGATTAAGAAAGCTTTTGGATGATGAGAGATAATACAACTCTTCTTGTTTTTTTTCCTGAATTTGTTTATCTATTTTCTGAACGATCATAGGGAGTAATTTTCACTAAAATCATTGGGTACTTATTTTTCTATTTGCATTTCATTAAAAATATATTTTCTTCTCCTAATCTACTTTCAAAAGCGCGTATACGTGACATTTTTTGTGAACTAAGCAAAGCTTCTTTCAAATTTATGATTCTACCCGTCACTGATAGCTGATAGCCACTACTTAGCTGTCTGCAGATGGCAGGTTTAAGTTACTGAGTTTGAACACAGATGTGCTGCTTTGTCGGCAATAGATGATTGTGTTCAGCAGAAAAACTGGGGTCTTGCCTGGGTGTGGAGTTTAAGGTTGTTTATAAGCATATGTACAGTCTGTCAAAGAAATGCCACAATGAAAGGAAAATGAATGTTTACGGAAATAACCAAGAAGCTATGGTGCTTCTGACAGAATCAGAAACAACAACAACAAAAAATATGAATCAATGCAGAAAAATATCTGTTAAAAAGCAAAATGAAATTTTATGATATCAAGAGACAAACTTTAGCAGAATCTTTGCTTTCTCCATGTGTGTGCAGCTCTCCTGTCACTGTTGGATGATTACTCAAATACAAATAAACCAGAAGGAATATTTTTATGGGAAATTTTGTGACATCTTTTTGCTTAATTTTATTATCTGAATATTTTTTATAGGAAAAAAAGGGAAAACAGCAAGAGTCATTAGAATCCGAAGGGAGATGTTGATTTTAATGGATAAATCGCACTGTGTCTATTTTCACCAGCTGAAAACTCCACAGAGTGAGTCTATCAGCTTGGCACCTGCTCTGGAAGCTTCTTGATGAAGCAAAGGTTGTCTTCATTAAGAGCATTAATATTCATGACGCATGGTAATTTTGACACAGAAAAGGTCTCTGTAACCTTTTCTTGTGTGAGAATTTTTTACTTCTCAAGGAAATTACAGTCCAGCAATGACTTAATTAATGCCTGGTTTCTTCGGTGGAATTTGAGTAGCTGTCAGTTTGGGTCCGCGCTACCTGTCAAACAGAGAGAAGACTTGGGAGAGATGGATTGAAGGAGGGGAGGAGTGGAGGAGAACAGCAGAGGCCCCCTGTAAAGTAAAAACAGACAAGAAGCTCAGAACACCTCCCACACTCATTCTGTCAAATATCCCCATTTTCTTTCTTTCCCTCTCCATATTTTAAGAATCAAATAAACATTATCATACAGTATGTTATGAAACTTAAAATGTACATCTTAGGGGCTTCATAGTGGCACATTGGTTAACATCTTTGCCTTGCAACTCTGGGGCCTTGGGTTAAATTTGTAGGCTGCTGTCTGCTTGACGTTCTTCCTGTGTTCACCTGTGTTTCCTCTGGGTGCTCCAGTTTCCTCCCACAGTCCAAAACACACTGGTAGGTTAATTGGCTTCTGGGAAAATTGGCCCTGATGTGACTGGATCCATGTGTGTGCCCTGTAATGGACTGGCATCCCATCCTGGGGACTTGTGCCTGTTCCTTGCTGGGATAGGGTCAGCTTCCCTGCAACTCTGTATTGGATAAAATGGTTAGAAAATGGATGGATAGATGTACATCTTAGGGTTTAATTTATGATTGGGCCAGTAATAATAATTATATACCTATTGTACATAACTGGAGTGTGAATGAATACACATTTTTTCTGCTTTCATACAGTATACTGTACAAACATCAAAGTGAACTCTAGCCAATTAACTATGATTTTTTTTAATTTTCTATTTAGTCACTGTATTAATATTTTGAAATTGGAAATTAAAACTAATGTAAAATCTTACATTCTTACATTTGTCTTTGCTGCACTTTATCCGGACACCAAGACCAGGTTTTCTGCGCCAACTGGGAAACTGACAAGTTCTCAGCCCTCGGTAGTAAGAAGCTGTAATGTCAGACTTCAAAATCTAAATGGGTTGCGAGCTTGTTTCAAAAACTCATTCTTCAAAGCCTTTGAATCTCGGGAAGAAAAAAAAAACAAGAAGGAGATATCCTTGACTGTCCTTTGATGGAGGCAGCTGAAGATTTAATGTTACAAACATAGTCAAAGGCACTATTTGCCTCGCGTAAAAACGTGCAAGCTTTCTGTATAGCACCAGGCAACTATACGCAAAAAACAAAAGCATCTCTGCAGTCATTCATTGACCGATTGTATTATAAATTTCCTGCAGGTCTTGTGAGTAAATCTTGTATCACAGATTAACTCTTCGCATATTGTCTACTGGTCAGATGGACATTGACACAGCTACTTACTTGACGGGTTCTTTTAAGGTATGGAAGAGCTCTTCTCCAAACCTGCACACATTCCCACCTGCTTTTTTTCCCACCTGGACACAGAAACACAGCGGGGAGAGGCAGGTGGGCAAATGGGGAACCAGAATACGTGAACACACACAGGCACACACATCTGCACACCAGCACAGGGTCTAACAGGCTGGGCGCTACATTTTTCCCAGCACCAGACAGTAAAAAATTTGAACATAAGGTAGCATTTCCTTTATCATGTCCCATAAAAATAGCAATTTGCTGGAGCCCTTGTAGCACAATATGGAAGGCGGTCTATTTTACTGATAATGTAGAGATGACAGATAGGTCTGTACTGGGAGGTTTCAGCTGCGTCTTGTTCCCGGTGTAATAAATTGCGAGGAGAGAGAGGAAGAGAGGATCGTGTCGGCTCTGCTCCTCCTCCGATAGCCATATAACACAGCCCGGCTCCGTAATTATACGCTGTGAAAATATGGGATTAATTAGACTGATACACTGAGGCAATGCAGTCTCATTAAAGGCTGAGCAGCATTTTCACAGATATTGCCACTCAAAGGAGGACGCTGCTAATGTGAGAAGACAAAGTCTTCTCTTTTAGCACTCCATGCTTATTATCTTACTTAAGGCCACTTAAACAAGCTCCCAAAGGTGCCCTGACAGAGAGGCCCTCCTGCGCACACATCCCTTTCGTTATTTCTTTACTTCGCCTGCTTCAGGAAAACATAGGGAATCTGTCTGCGCTGGAAAGGCGGATAGAAGGGGACTCTTGGTTTTGATTAGCCACTAAACACACAAAAGGGAGAGCCTTTCAAACAGATATCTATGGCTGAAATAATTAGGTTTGCGAAAACTCCCCGCCAGTATCCCCGAGCTCCGATTCCCTTTGGCTGGAGGAATGTGGAACATCTTTCATGTTCGTTTTCCATCGCGGCTCCGTCGAGTGTTTTCTTTTCTTCTTCCTGGCACTGTCCAGCATCTGCCTTATTCTGTTTTTAAAATATTAGATTGTAATATATTTCAAGCTCAATTGACGGCTCCAGTGTTTCTGAGGCTCTGTTGTCGTAATGAGAGAGGATATAATATAAATTCTAATTTTATTGCCGCCATTTATCATGTGGGAGCTCAAGACATTGAGCGCTCCAAACGAACACTAAAATAATTAACAAAATACTCTTTACCGTGACAGATTTCACACCATGCTGTACTACAAATTTAAGTGTATTACTTTTAAAGTAATCTCATTTCACACATTCAACTTTGTAACTGGAAATGTTTGGAGAATCTGCCATGTACTAACTTAAAACTTGGTATTTTCTACACAAGGACTATTGATCCCATTCACAGGAGTCACTGAGATCTATCATTACAGTTTTCATTGAAGCTGGTGAAGGGATAACTTTGGGACTGTCATTGCCTACAAACTGCACACCACATCCTCTAATCTCTGACAATTATGTGGTCATTAGGAATTTCTATAAACGCTATCCTTAATAAGGAATCGGATTACATGAATAAGACCTGTACAAGGCAGATTCGAACACAAAAAGAGTTACAGATGTAGGAGGAGGTCTGTTGACCCATCTAGTTCTTTTCACTGCTAGTAGTTATGTGCTCCAAGGATCTTATCCAGTGACTTGATGGAAGATGGGGTATCATCTTCAACAGGATGATTTGGTAGCTTGCTCCTGGCTCCCACAATACTCACAATGCTATTTGTAAAACAATAAATAAATCTACTATTTTTAAAGCACTTCCCCTAGGTTTCCACTTGTGTTTTCTAGTTCACACTTAACAGCTGAGTGTTAAGAAATCCACTAGGTTGATTTAGATAATGTTTAAGACTTTAAATGCTAAAACCAGGTCCTTAATAGTCTTCTCTTTTTAAGGTCAGGTAAAACATTTTTTTAGGCTGAAAGTGTAGTATATTTCTTTAAGCACAGGAATTTACTGTATCTGACTGCTCATCACTGGACTGATGTCAGAGCAGGATTATATATTTTATAATGTGGTGACCGAAAGTGTTCGCAATATTCTATGTGAGGTATTACTGGGTCATTAAACAATGTTGACATAACATCTCTTTATTTAAATTCTATGCTTTTAACTATACATCTTATATTTTATTCTATATTTTGTGCCACTGTCATTTGAACTTCAAGGTAAGGTTTAATCTATTTAGTACGTTACAGTGAGAAGTTATAGTTAACTTCACTACTTTATGATACCTTTATAATTCCTTGACATTTGAATGAAAAGAAGCCAAAAACTGTTAAGGGGTCTTTGCAAAGCTTGGTAGTGAAGGCATTCCTTTTTCATTTAGATTTGCATGTTTCCAAAACTCTATCTTGAATGCTTTTGAATCTGTCTTTGACAAAACAACAATGACAGTGCTTTTATACTTAAAGAGTGGCATCAGACAATTCTACTAATTAAATTCCATGAGAGTCAAAAGGATTATTCAGAGTATCTGATTCAACATTTTAGATTCGTTTTACTCTTTGATGACCCTTATCAATAAACTTCTGTGAACCAGACAGCTTTCCCTATCCGAGTGGCAAGAGCCCAGAAAAATTAGAACCATTACTTTCATTGAAACTGCAAACATAATGAAATAAATAATATAAAGATGTAGATGTTTTGTATATTATCTTTGTAATACAATTTTATTTTACAATAATCTATTAGACTGCAGACACTCAGTAACAAGACAATTATTTCAATTTAGTAACATTAGGTTTTAAAAAACTACCACTTGTCAGAGCTGTTTTGGAATTATGAGGTCAGATGACAGCTGGGCCACCTGCTTCACTGGAAATCAACTACTGCTTCGCTCTGCTCGCCATTACAGCATGAGGTGCAGCAGAAACACATGCCATGAAGCTGATAACAATGCACAGCACTCACAGCGTGAAAGACGCTGCTTTATTGATTCTTACATAAAAGCAAATTGCTCTGATGTTTTGGCCAACGTTGCCTTCATCATTGTCCGTTTATGTTTCCTTTGGAAGGTTGACACCTGAAGCCCCAGGTCCAGGGTACTGTGAGACTGCATAGGTTTATAAATCTCCCATAGACTGAAGGTAATGAGCATTAAACTTTTCTATATTGCTTTTCCAGCCTAATGGCAATGCTATAAGGACTTTTAATTACAAATGAAAACACATAGTTATTTTTTAGACACACTCTTCATATACGCCACTATTGCAAGTGTACAACTACACCCTCATTAAAAGCACCTTTTTGCTAAAGAATGAATGGAGCTCTAGCTAATCTTAGGCAGATCATTACTTTTTGTAAAATAATCTATGGATGTGAAACAGATGACAGTCAAACACAGCACTTTGACCAATAGAAGAACACATTCAACTCAAGTCCACCACATTTGCATACATTAGCTCTTCACTACAAAGGCGTTACACACAAAATTAGGAACTCCCACAGACCAGGCGTGTCTTAAGAAACCTCAATCCCCTTTGCACCCGTCCCCATGTAAATTACAATGGATTAAAAGACAAGTGTGGTTTTATAAACATGTTGTAAGTAACAACAGTGAAAACAGACCAAGCTGTTTATAAGGTAGTCTCTCCCTTTTATGGCAAAAGACAGGGCTGTTTTTGAATCTTCCACCTCCATCTTCTTTGACATGACCAGTTTCCTTTCTGGGGGGGATGTGCATATTGTTGTATTTATCAAGTCCTGACAGCAGCTCTCCGACGGATATCAGCTGATCCTTCCCAATTACGTGAGCGTTTTTTTTGGCAGTTGCACTGGTCTTGGTGATGACTGGAGGATGATGAGCTAGCAATAATATCTGGGCACACAATATAGACGTCAAAGACAGCTGCCGGCACAGCCGCTGAGTACAGTACTGGCGATTGTATTGGTATTGGCTATCCCGAATTAAACTTATTGTTATATTTCACAAGAAAACAGACTGATCAACTTATTGCAAAATAGTAAATCAAACAGATTTACATCTTTTGGAGAGGTGGTAAGTCTCACACATTTACAGGTGTCTCAGATCATATCATATTTTAACAGAACCAACACAATAAAGAGAAAGACGTATTTGGGAACATAATAAAAGATTACAAATGTAAACACTATTTGGCCCATCT